TTTTTTTTTTAAAACAAACGCCTGGCTGGCTCAGTCACTTAAGGGTCTGACTTCGGCTCAGGTCAAGATCTCATGGTTTGTGAGTTCGAGCCCCGCCTCGGGCTCACTGCTGTCAGTGCAGAACCCGCTTCGGATCCTCTGTCACCTCTCTCTTTGCCCCTCCCTTACTCTGTCTCTCTCAAAAATAAATAAACATTTATAAACAAAAACAAAAATGCACACTTGGGAGGGGTAGTATGTTAAATAACAGTCAGTGAACCTATTGCTCATTCCATCATTCACCTACTTGGGGAGCATCTGCTTGCTCACGGTTTGCTTCCTGGGTCAGCACTTTTCTTTTCTTTTCTTTTTTTTAATTTTTTTTTCAACATTTATTTATTTTTGGGACAGAGAGAGACAGAGCATGAACGGGGGAGGGGCAGAGAGAGAGGGAGACACAGAATCGGAAACAGGCTCCAGGCTCTGAGCCATCAGCCCAGAGCCTGACGCGGGGCTCGAACTCACAGACCGCGAGATCGTGATCTGGCTGAAGTCGGACTCTTAACCGACTGCGCCACCCAGGCGCCCCGGGTCAGCACTTTTCAACCTTCCCCATCACAAGCACCAACATCTGACTGGCATCAATGGGTACACCCAGCACTAAGGGCAATGCCTGGCACACTTATGGTTTCTCTACTCTTTTATATTACCCTCCAAAAGCACTTTTATTTTCAGATTATTGCCTTTCTGACACCCTTCCCCAAAGTTCACTTACTTATGAATTCCAAAAGGGCATCCAATTGGATTTGGGACTTCTACATTCCCAAACCAATCAAGGTAGTTGGCTGAGTGTCTGTGTTCCCAGGGATTGGAAGCTGGGGTGCTCACCAACTTTAAGAGAACCAGAATATCCACCTCCTACCTTCACTATCAATGGGCCAAGACTCCATTACTGTCCTGCCTGTGCTTGGAAACACAGGCATCCTTCTAACTCATAAAAGCAAAGGAGAAAAGGAAGAGAAATTTAGATTCCCATGTAGAGCCTTAAGAGATGATGAGTTTGAATTAGAAAGTAAAAGTTTTCTTGCTTCAGGCCCCCTGGAGAAGGGTGAAGAACCCAAGAAAATGAGGCAAGAAAGATGTCATCAGCTCTGTGCTCTGTTTGCCAAGGCCCCTTCTCCCTTTAGTCTCTAGGCCAGCCTTCTGTGTTGAACCGGACAAAAAGGGTCAGCAAAATGAACACACTAATTCCTCTTAGCTGATGTCCCTCAGACTGTACATAAGCATAAGACAAATAGTTCTGGCCATCTCAAATCATGATCCTGGCATGTTGCTGACCAATTGTTCAGACTCTTGCACTATTCCTGCTGTGGAAGAATTTGCCTAATAAATTTCCTTTCCATTGTGTGAGGGGGAAAGGCAAGCCAGCTCGGACAGATAGCCCCACATGCTGAAGGCTCAGTATTTAATGCTTTGCCGGGTCTCTCCTGTTCAGCACTAGCCACCAGCCTTATTCAGCATTTACTCCCTGGTAGTGCCACAGACTGGTTGCTGGAAGAGGAGAAAGGCAGACAGATGTTGCTTCTCAGGTTTCAGAGTTTTAGGAGCCACTGGCTCCATGAGATTCAAATACCACAGGTGTTTCTCAACTTGAGCCAAGATGGTCAGATTACAATGGGAGACAGAACTTCATTATGGGCAGGGACATGAAATCAGAGATGGTGCGGTGTGGGCCTCTCAACGTCGCTGCTTAGGGCTAAATAAGTCAATAGATTGGTCTCACGCTCTGCATAAAAACCTGGGCTTCATTCTTTTCTTTATCAGAGAACCGATTAAATAGCATTTTATCCCAATAATGATGTCTCCAAGAGAACCCCTCTAAGCACCAGATCCACTCTCCAGGGGACACTAGTTAACAGCAAGACCAGCACAGAAGAGTTGAAGGACTCCTGCTGGTGGCCACCTGTCTCTTGTTGCCATGGGTTGGTTCCAACATGAAGGAATATTTTACCACGTAAAGAACCACTGTAGAACTTAACTTACGTGTATTCTCTCTACTTATATCAGTGGAAAATGTACAAGAAAAAATAAAGTGTCTTTTAAAACAACTATTTTCTAAAGCAAATGGTGTGAGCAAGAAAGATGACACATGAGCCAGGGCACCAAATTTTCCAACCCCACAACACATGGGCTCCTCTGCAGGATTGCAGGAAACTCATATTTCCACTGGCATTTGGAAAGAAGGCTATTCTCTGGTGGATATCGATTGCATATTTCTCAGGTCTCTTCCTTCCTTCTATCTTTCTGCCTTCATTTCCTTGATGAAAATAGAACAATCTCTATGATACCTCACAATATGTAAGAGTAAGCAACATCTCTCGGAGTAGGTGTTGCAGTTCATGCTTGATTCTCCATGTTATGGGACGAAGTCACTGGTCTTGGAGTCTGTTAGTTTGGAATTTCCCCCACCTCCTCCGCCTTATGTTTCTCACATCCATATGGAGTGATTTTGGTGTCCTGGCTCTTTGATTTTATTGCAGGATTTCCATAGTGAGATTCTGAGAGGAAAGGGTGGTTACACAAATGCAGGAATCCATTTGAAAAATCAAACATGCAGGACTCGGGTGATCATCCTGCCTTGAAATAGAAGTCCAAGTGTAATCTCAATCATGAAGAATGGAAGTCAATACAATCAGGTGTAACCGGTCTTAGTAACTCATGGCCTATTTTTTTACACTGCAGCAGCAGAAAATAACTTCAAAACTTAAATCAAATCATGTCATTCTCTTGATCAGAATCTTCTAATGCCTTCCCTTCACTCTCAGAACAAAATTCAAAGTCCTCATCATGACATAAAAGGCCCTACAAACTCTGGCCCTTGCCTACTTCCACAGTTTCACCTCCTAACATTGCTTGTCCTTCACTCTGTTCTAACCACACAGGCATATTTGTTTCTCTAATACACAAAACAGATCCTGCCTCAGGGCCTTTTCACTTGCTGTCTTATCTCCCTGGAATGTTTTCTGCACCAACAGCCACATATCTAAGTCTTTATTGATTCGTATTTCTGCTCAAAGAGGCTTTCTTAACCACCGTATAACACCTTGTCTATCATTCTCCATTCTCTCATGTTACTTTTCTTTATAACACTAATATTTTTTATTGTTTATTTTCTGTCTCCTTCACCCAAATATAAATGGTTAGTAACTTTGTCTGCATTCCTAGACTACTGCCAAGCACATGGTAGGCATTCAATAAATATTTATAGAAGAAATGAATGAACACCTTATATTTAGTGTTCACATATCTTTCTATCGCTCTCCATACATATTTTTCCAAGTGCACACACCTACATTGCCCCCCACACACATCACACATGACACACATACTAAGTATAAAACATCTAGGCATGAGGTCATTTCAAGTTCATTACGTATTAATTGAACATCCTCTTAGTGCAAAGCTGCAAAAGTGCAGGGGCAAGAGGAAAGTCCTAGAAAAAGGAATAAAAATAAACAAATAATTATCTCTCCAGCAAAACCACTTGCTGTTAACTCAACTAAATCTGTCCTCCTTATCGTAATTGTGACAAAATGTACATGGGAAATTATTTGTTTATCCTCTTATATGCTCTGAAATTTCACTTTACTTTTAAGCATGTCACTCCTTTAGATTTTTCCTTTTTCACATCATTGTGTCTTCGGGATCACAATTATTCTTTTACACTGAGTTACAATTTTGGAATTCCTGATGAAATACAATCCCAGTGCTGAGGTCGCGCAATTAATTCTTCAAAATAAGATTAAGAAACTCTGCCTTCTGGATGGAAGACCCTGTATGGTGATTAGTTGCCTGAAAGAGCTTGTTACAAGCCAAATAGAAGGAGCTGTCATCCAGTTGATGGTTTCCAGGGATGAAGGTTCCAGGACCTGCAGTAATTTCATTTGTCATCGTTGCAAAACCAGATAGTCACGTGAGCTGCCAAAGCCTGCGGCAGAGGAGGGTTACTTGCCAACTGTCCTTAGGAATAGGAACGCAAGGTAGACAAGGCAACTGCTGGAAATGAATTATTTCTGGCAGTTATATTATCATCATTATGAAAAATAGAGGCAGCGTGGTTGGATCTACTTGTAATAATTTCCCAACTCTGGGCACAAACTTTTAGTGATGAAGATGTTTCTAGAAACTATGAAGATTTCCACCAGCCTTGTCATTGTAAGAATAGGCTATGAGAAAGCTTTGATTGCACAGGGCAGCCACACTAACCAGGAGGGAGAGAAAGAGGTGTGACCTGGCAGAGGGGTTTAGGTGCAACTGGAGGAGATTCACCTAGTTGGAGAGTCAGCAATCCCAAGGGTCTAAAAGTGCAGGTGATACTGAATTAAGCAACAGTGCCAGTGAAAAGTGGGGAGAAGCATGACCCCAAGGCACAGAGGGCTGCACTCTTACTCTGGCCAAATTGTCTATTTGTTGATTCATGGAAGTGCTTTGGCTGATAGCCGGGGATAAAAGGAAAGGACTCAACACCTGGAGAAGGGGGTAAGCAAGAGCTGAAAATGGCACAAAGACCATACATAGTCAGGGCAAGCTAAGTGATGTCATGGAAACAAATAATCCCCCAGCTCAGTGACTTAAAACCATGAAGGTTCGTTTCTTGCTCATACTATATATTCATTGCATATCAGCAAGACGCTCAGCAAGAGGGTCATTCAGGGACCCAGGCTGACAGTGTGGTCACCCTCTCAAATGTTGCCTGTCACCTTGCCTGAGAGAAAAGAGGAGCCCAGGGTATTGTGCACTGGTAATTAAATGATCTATCCCAAAAGCGACCCACATAAATTCCACTTACATTGGTCAGAAGTAATTTCACAGCCCCTATACAATAGAAAGCGTTACCTACAGAGTAGGTAGGTAGAGGACAGAGAACTGGAAATACTGGTGAATGGCATTAATGACTGGTGCAACCCCCTCTTTGTCCAATGGGGTGCTGAGACTGTTGTCCAAGTCAGTGCTGATGTCCAGGGGAGTTTGGGAGGATGGAGGATGGAAAATGGGAGGTGGGAGGGCAAGGCTGACCCTAAATATTTGAGACTGAGCCCACAAAGTGGAGGTGGGGAGCCTGAGGTAGCAGAGAGGCATGTTACAGCTCAGTGGCCCTGATAACTGCAGGCTGTTCCCCAGGTTGGGTCTGGGTCATGGGTCACTCAATCCCAGGTCCGTCCTCTCCCAACTGGGTAACTGAAACTACAAACATTCCTTTCTGCATCCTGATGGCTGCAGGTCCTCTGGTCCTTGTAGGAAAAGCCCATCAGAACATGTACCTGTGAGGAAATAGGGATGGGAAGAGTTGGGGAAGGGAGGAGGGGCAGACACACCTGGCTCTTGTTGTCCTTTGACTCAGAGAAATGCGTTTGTTTTATTTTCAATGACTATCATTGTAAGTCCCAAAACCCAAGGGAAAAAATATAAGGAAGAATTTTCTGAAGCTTTTGAAATCCCCAGATGAGTTCTAAGGGGAGGTAGAGAACTTTTGTTTGCTTAAGACTCTCGAGCAATATTTCACAGTGTAGTTCAAGACCACCTACATCTGAATCACCGGGGAGCTTGTTAAACATGAGGTTCCCTGGGCTTCTCCCCAGACTTACTCATCTGGGGATGAAGCCCAGAAATTTACATTTTGTTCCCCAGAAGAAACTTAGAGTTGGAGAATCATTGCTTTAAAAAGGGATAGGATTGCCATTGGGGTAGCGCAAGTTGGTGCCCCTCAGAAACGGAAAAGGAAGCCCTTCTAGTTCTATGGTCTTATACTTCAGGGCAGCAGTTTAAAGATTCCAATGGATTCCACCAATTAGTCCTGTTGTTATTCTGGTTCATAACTGTATTCTGGCTCCCTTGTCTAAAACAGTTTCAACTTCCCCTAGCATTTGCCCGAGTCTGAGCTACCAGTTGCTGCAATGGGAAAGACAGGTGGCTGGGCCTGTGGGGTAGGGGGTCTGCTCTCTGCAGGAGACAATTACATGCTCTGAAAAGGACAACCATGGCTTGTCCTAAGCAACAGAGGGGAACTCTTGTCAACATTTTGAAAAGCTGGCGCCATGCTTGAAAGGGGCTGACGGGAGCCACTGATGGGTCTGGCTGAAAAACAATTGCTTATGAGGAGGATCAGTGTCAACTTTGAAGTGAGCCATGCTCGAATTAGCACCATCGTGGTAACAAGCAGAATGAGCAGGGCTGAAATGACATATTTAGTCAGGAAAGAGGCCTGTGTTTAAGGGAAGGACTCTTTCAAAGGAAACAATGCATGAGACTTGGATGAGAAGCTTCTGGCTCCTTGTTTGTCTGGCTTTTAACAACCTCAGCGAAGTTCACATTTAGTTGAGTGGCTCATTCCTTGAATTGAGTTAAGTGTGTAGCTTCTGTATTTCTGTGGCAGATGGAACCCGCCCTTTCTGGATTGTAGTACAGGTTCCACCATTCGCGTGCTGTGTCCTTAGGCATCATGGAGACCCAATTTGCTCCTGAGTGTCCAAAGGCGGGATTCCGTGCCTTCCCCACTGACTGAAGGGTCTCTACACAGCTCGAGGGATGAAGTTCTCCTGCTCTGAAGGGATCACCTCCTTCACGTGCGTCTGCAGAGAGTGATGGTGGTGTTTTGGGTGGTAATGGTAGTAGAAAAGTTGAGTGAGCGATGGTTTTGTCCTCTTCCCAACCTCTGCTCTTCTTGCTTCCTCCCATTGCTGTTCACTCTACCAGCAGCTGCCATTCACTGACTTCTCATCTCAGCTCCGAACTCCTTGATTTTCTTCATGTGAAGTTGTTCCTTTCTCTTCGCAGAGCCTCTTGGGAAAAGCTTCTCATGGCCAAACCAGGGTTTTGAACTGGGTCTTCTGCTCCTCCCCAGCTCTGGGTGGGAGGTAGGAACTGGAACAGGAAGTTAGTTATTCTTCCAATTACATCTTCATAAGCCTTTGCTTTCTTGACTTCCTCATGTATAAAATGTGGGAATAATGCCTCCCTTTAAGGATAAGATTCAGTCTC